GGTGACGCGGTGAGGGTCTTCGGGGTTGAGTTGGACGGGTGCTGATGGATGAGGCTCTGTTAGCCTGTCGCGTCACAAATGACAGAAAATTACAGCCCCCAATAATTATAAGAACCCCGCTCTTACCGTCGTTCCGGTCTTTACCAGTTGCCTTAACGTGCGTTTCCCACTGACAGAATTCCGTCCTCCACCGAAGACAGTGAGCACATGCGTACTGCCAACATGCGTTGGGACTATAACTGCAGTATTCCTATCAACTATCAGTGCAAGTTTCCGGAACAATGTAGAGCTGCTCTGCGAGCTCGATGTTGAGAACTCACACATTCCCATACTTTCGAAGACGCGAAGCCTTTGTCAGTCTCACACTCATCAGCATCGATCCGAAACAGATTCATCTTCGATACACCGCCCGCAGTGTTCAATCGATCAAGCCTCCAGGAATCACGTTTCGGTTGCAGGAAGCTGAGATCAATCGACAAACAGACATGGTCGGGGTCTGTTCCTGTTGAGCCTCATGGTAGAGTATATGATATAATTACCCGTCGCTCTCTCGCACTCTTGGGATGTCGAAATCTTCATCCTGATCCTCTCTCTTTCCTCCCTATGACCTTCCCTCCACAGTGACCAGCGACGAGCGCGAATAACACACTTGCGGCGTTCATGAGGCGGCCTGCATGTCGTACTGATTTAGTTTGCAGCAACATGTCTTGTCTAACGAATCATAGATTGACATCATTTCGCTCTTCATGCCGCCGGACAGCATTGGCTATAAGCCACAACGAATCAGAAAACAGACAGTCTTCACCGCGCCTGCCGAAGCGCTGAAACTCTGTCGCTGATTTCTTCTAGCGTCGCTCGCATGATCTGAACGACACAAATGCGTTGATGACTGCAGAAATGAGAATCAACATCCCTTTGAGTTCCAACGCCCGAAGCGATCAAATTCTCGAGTTACCAGGTCAAGTGGCTGCTTTACGACCAGCGAAAATGGGCTGAAAACCGCTCCTTGGTGACTTTGTTGCACTAGGCTGAGTAGGAACAGCGGAGATCAAATGCCGCCTATTGTGTCTAGAAATGTCTGAACAGACCTGAGATTTGAGACAACAGCTTGAAAAAGAAAAACTAATGACTCGACTGAGATACTTGCTGATTCGAAGCAGAAAAGACTTTTCGATTACCCCTTTCGAGAAGATTTAAGAGGAGCGGCGGAAGAGTAGGATATAATCCCTCAACCCTATTCTGCAGAGATACTAGCAATCAATATACAGCTTTCTCAAAGAATTGTTAGCAAGTCTGGCTTGGACTTTTCAAATATTTCACGAGCCATGGGAGACAAGAAGAAGAGGTAGAATCCTGCCAGATGGACTCTCCAGTGAAGAGCAAGTACCTCTGTTGAATAACGGAGCCCAGTGGAAAGCAGGCGAAGTATCGACCGAATAGTGTACACAGGTAAGCTGGGCTTCTGAGTATCAAATCTGCTCTGCTTCGAGCTCTGGATAGTCTGGAAGTTGCCATCTTGAGGTCTTCTTGTCAAGACCTGCGCCCTGATCAAGTTGGAAATATGCTGCTGTTCTCGCAGACATATGTAAGGCCCAGATTCCCAACTTTGATCTCGGAGAAAGAATAGACTCTACCCACTCACTCCCGCCTTGCATCGCAGTAGCTATCGGTCTAAATTTCTCTTCATAATTCTTCGCACCCTGGATCACTGCCGCTGTTGGTGATGACCTGTCTCTCACGAACAACCTTGCGATCTCCCCTGCTAAGACGTAGGAGCCAACAACCCCCCATGTACACCCAAAACCACCTGCTGTCTCGCAGTGTGCCGAATCACCGACCAGAATGACCCGGCCGTTCGACCAAGACCCCTTTGGGAGTCGGACTTCTTCGAACGGGGTCGAGTACAAATCGTCTGCCTCCGGAGCATGTCGTAGCGCATCCATAAACCTCTCACACTCCCATCCACCACCTTGAAAAATATCAGCCCAAGCTTTCTTGAGACCCTTGAGAGTCCCTGATTCATGTGCTGCGGTGAGCGCAAGGTCCTCTCCACGCATCTGTATGTAGACCCGCGTGAGATCGGGGCAATCTTTCCTTGTTCCAATCATCCTGCTTACTCGCCCAGGCAGATGACAGAACGTTCCCCGATTTGAGTCGCCAGGCTCGGATGGAATACTGAAATATCCAATATAGCCTCCAAGCCGGTGGCGCGGATCCGGTGCGTCGGGGCCGAGCATGATCCTGCGTGTTCTAGAGCTAGTCCCATCGGCACCGACGACGAGATCAAAGTCGTCCTTTCGCCCATCTTGAAACTTAACGTGAACCTTGCCAATGGGGTCGCTCTCTTCATCCTGAGTAAAGCTGTCAATGGTGGTATTGAACAGATGTTGCACATTCTTTTGTTTTTCAGTGAGTTCGTACAGTATGCGAACCAAGTCGCCGCGCATAATTTCATACTCTGAAGTGAAGCTCTGTCTTCCACTGCCATGCTCAGCTGCCGGGAAGAATGCCTTGGTTTGCCCAGTTACATCTATCAGCTGCGTGCCAGCTTCACGAACAAGTGCAGCCCGCACAGCGGCCTCGATGCCCATCTTCTTCATCATGGGCACACCTTGGGCACGGAGGTCTAGCTGCTGGCCAGTGGCCCGAATTTTGGGAGAGCGCTCGATGAGGGTGATTCTGGCCCCGATCCGTGACAGCCAATGCGCTAGGGCTGGGCCGGCAATACCACCGCCAACAATGAGTACTTTCAGGGGCGCCATCGCGACACACTTGCGACGAGCCGAAAGAACAATGCCCTACATTGGAGAGAAGGCCATATTTAAGTGGTAGGTTTGTCTTTTTGTTTGCGCCTTTGCTTCGTATAACGACGGACAAGCCGGACAAGACAATTTGTCCGGTCGTGATTTCGGCCGATACTAATGGCCGGACGGAGCTTTGATTTAGTCTATTTAGTGGCCGCCTACAAGCCAAATCCCCTGAAATGCGGGCATCCGTCGCGCTAAACAGCCCTCGGCATGCATCAATGACGGCTTCATCTTGATAGCTTGCCTGCTCACGCTCAACTATCATCAACTTGCGGAACAGAGACCTTGATGAACTGATAAAGGATTGCTCGTCGCATCACCCCAATCTAAGCTGCCGATTTGCTGGCCAATTGATGTTGAACCATCCGCGCGAATGTAGTCACCTGTAGTGTAGCAGGTATAAGTGGTGTGCTGGCATCTTTATAGCTGGGAAGGAGGGAAACATACTGCTGGAAGGGAAATACCACCAATCCTGACTCCGAAAGGCATTGTCTGTGAGCTGCGATAACACATCATTCCAGCCTGTATTCCTGGTGTGGTAAACCGCGTGCTTTGCCCATGCCACATAAACTTTGGCGTGGTCCAAGTTCTGACGCCCGTTATCACCGCCTAGAGGCTGGTTGGCGTCGGCTGTGTTGAAGGTGTTCTGAATGTCTGCCCAATTCAAAGTCTGATAGCCCGAGTGCTGGCTTAGCATCAACTTTGATGGAACCCAGTTGCTCCCACTCTTTGCCCATATAACAATAACACGCTCCCAATCACTAAATGCTGCTTTAGTGTCAAGATCAGAATAGGCCTTGGAGGAATAACATTGCGTACTATGGATGCCCAAACACGCCGTCAGGAGAAAAGCCGTCTTTCTGATAGAACAAGTTGTATGCGACCCGAATCTCAGTGTCGCTGCATTTCTGATAAGTGTAGTAAACTGGGAAGCTTGGTCCTGGGTTACCGATCCCGACGCCTGGAGTGCGGCAGTTGCACCCGGCGTTGTTCCAAGCACAGGGCTCGCCTGAAGGCGTCTGGGCGCCGCTGCTGTCAATTGCGAACGTAGGGTAGCAAGGCGGTTGGTTCATTGCCTGTCCAAAGAAGAACATCGGCGCTGCGCGAATTGCGAGGTTTACACCGCCTTGGTTTAGCAGTGCTGTCATGTCGCTGTCTGACACGGGCGTTACAGCATTTGCTGCATGGAGCAGCGCTAGGCCAGCGAGCACGGCCCGGAGCATCTTGTGATACATCGAGCGGACTGAATTGTAGGAAAATAGGGAACGATTGTTCTATTGAGCCCAATTCTACGATTCTAGGGAAGGCTAGCAGCCTTGAAACATTCCTTGCCCAACATATGTATAAATATGGCACAGCCGGTAGTCGAGGCCTGCAGACTGATCCATCCAATGCACACGCACGATGCTATTAGTCTAGGACCCTGGTCACCCCTCGTGGCTGGTTGCGATCCCCTGAGAGGCCACTCACACAACTAGTATATTGCAATGACCAAGGAATACGTAGCTGGGAGGGAATGGCCTGCTTTTAAGATCTCACAGCTTGTGAAACAAGCAGCTCGGTCTCTTTCTCGGGATAGCGGTGTGCCTGGGGGCCTAGAGACCGGGAGATCACCATTTTAGGAGCGGGGATTAGAGTAAGCTTAAACTAGCCTGGAAGGTGGCAGATGAGAAGCCGACTCTCATCTACAAGGGCTCAATACTGTAACGTGCCGTTTGTACGTGTTCTAATTTGGGAGACGAGCCGTTTCTAGTGCATCGGTTTTTTCATTCTGAATACAGAGTGCTCCCCACAGAAATAAGACTTCTTGGGCCCCTATGCTTATCCAACAAATATTAGTCAAAGTTCCTATATTAACCACAGTGACTGTTGTGATGATTCACCCTCGGGGTTTATCCGGCATGACAAAACACGTGTTTGGATTTAGTATTATGGTTTTACCTATGCCAATACTTCGATCTTGAGACTTGTCTCAGAAACAACTTTCTATCTGAATCCGCAGGGTCGATGTCTCCATAAAAGAAGTCTCCCGTAAATGCAAAGATACATTGTTCATCATGCCACCTGGTCCCCGCAGTGTCTAGTAGCAGAGCAAACAGGCTCTACATCCCCGCCTTCACCCCAAACCTTTCTTGATAGGAGAAAGATTCCACAGATGGTTGCCGTAGAATAGGTGCCAACTCGAAGGCGCTTTTATCTGCCTTCGATTTGTCCAACGCTAGGGTTTTCTCTCTTATCTTCCGAGTATCCACGTGCGCCATTGTGTTCCATGTCGCCGGTCCTCTTTTCATTGGCGGCATCAACCTGTCTATCTGCCTCTTCGTAGATATCCGGTCTATGTAATTGTGTAGCGATCTTATTGTTGAACACGAAGATATTGTGGTTATCGTAGAAGAAGCGATCGATGTCCTCGAGAGATCGATTTGCAGTTTCTGGATAGAACAGGTATGTGATCGGAACGAAGGCTGCACAAATGACGGCCCAGATGATCCAGAATTTGTAGCCTAAATTCTGAATGCCGGGCGGCGTGATCTGAGCCACCATATAATTCATAATCCAGTTCGATGCCATAGCCAAACTCGCACCTTTGGCTCGGAATGCTAGAGCATTTACCTCGGTTGGGTATAGCCATGGAACTCCGAGGACACCCATTGCGAAAGAGGCAAAGAACACGAAGAAGAAAGACACCGCGACGATTCCGAGCTTATAGCTGTCTCCGCGACCTGTCTCGGAGAGTCCTAGCGAGATTGCAATGATCGTCCAGCAAATCGAGCAAGCAGTCGCAGATGTCATCATAACTTTACGTCTTCCGTAGCGTTCAACGACGAAATATGCCAAGAATGAAAAAAGGAGGTAGTCCATGGAGCCGGCGGCGGCCAGGATGCGAGCCAAAAATTCACTCAACCCGATAGCATGAATGAAGACGTACGTCATGTAATACGACGTAACGTTAATTCCACTCACCTGGTTCATAGCTTGAGCATGGAGTTAGCATACAAGTCAGTTTTCATGGAGAGTGATTTACCTTGCATCCAGGCGCCGAGAATCATTCGCCGTACGACACCGGCTGGCCCCTTGCCAGTAATAAGCTGCCACCAAGTATAGTTCACGGCGTATTCTTTGTCCAGAACATCCTTGATAATGGAAAATTGCAGCCGCACTGACGGCGAGCTGGGAGTCGCGCCGTGGCCTTCCAGAGCAGCCAGAACCTCTGCAGCCTCTTCATATTTCCCCTTCCGAATGAGAAGACGTGGAGAGTCGGGCAAGAATGGACACATAAGCAAGACACACGCAGAAAAGACTAATCAAGTAATTGATAAGCCTCTTTTCAATTGAATCATTGCTTCTCGGATTGTGGCGATTGACTTACATATTTGGAAGGCAAGTGGGAAACGCCATGATACACTTCCAGGGGCGAACGAGAAACCCAGTGTCAGCCAATTGGAAATTGCAAAACCGGTAATGCAGTTGGCCATCTGAATAATAATGAGTTTTCCTCGGCTTCTCATCTTCGATGTCTCTGACTGCCACACGCCAGCTGTCGCAGTGTTCATCCCTGTGCCTAGGCCAGCAACTACACGCCCAACATACATCTGCCCAGCACTGAATGAAGCAGCTTGAATTATGGCAGCAACAGCGATGACAGTGCTTCCGAGCATCAGTACGCGAGGACGGCCCAGTTTATCACCTGTGTAAAGAGTGGATAAAGCGCCAGCGAAACAGCCGAGATTGTATACCGAGGTCATTGTCCCCTGGTCCGTGGTGTTGGGATATCCCATTGTGCGAAGAAAATCTTCTTTGACCAGCACATTTCCAAAGACACCCTGGAAAGAGAGCCACAGTCAGCATAAAAAACCTGTTTTTACAGCCTTGATCCAAAGGTAGGGGCTGGTCATACTTGGTCATAGCCGTAGAAGATGAGGACTGTTGAAGCAGCAATGGAGATCCAGACGGTTAGGCGTTCGCCTGAACCACCAAGGTATTTGCGACCCATTATGAATCAGCAAATGCCTTGTGTATGTCAAGGACAAATGTCGCAGGGGATCTACATCATCGGCGCGGTATCACACCTTATATACTGCCTTAATCATGTATCGTGCCACCGCATTGCCTGATCATTCCAACCCCGCGCGAAGAGACGGTCTAATGGCCTCTACCGCTGTGAAACGAAGCGCTTGGGTGAAGCTTAAGCACGCTACACGTCATATTTAGAAAATCCTTCCTCAATACGGTGTTGACAGGCGACTGGGGCATAATTGCCGGGCCAGTTCCCGGGTCGTGAGCCCGCGGGATGCCTAATTAGGTTATCCAGTGCGGCTATTCGGTGCTATTTCCAGGAGCCGCACGCTGGCATCTGGGGAATATGGACGTTCTCCAGGTTTGGGGGGCCCCACACATGGAATTTCCCCGCCCGCGACCAGTGGGGATGGACGAGAAGCTGTTGGCAAAGCTTTTCAGAGCGTGTATGCTTCGCTAAACATGCCGGACAAAAGGGCCCCGGTATTCGGAGGACACGGCTAAGCATCATTGGTGTGCCCGGGTGTCGATCTTCGGTGGTTCCGACGATCGTCAATACTCCGTGGAGTCAAAACACGAATGGAATCTTGCTTTGATGCTGCGGAACCGAATCCGCCAAGCGGAAATTTCCTCGGATCTAAATGTTTTACACGTGAGGCGCTTCTTGACTCTGCCGACAATGGCTGTCTCCAACTCCGACATCCCAGCCCACAACCAACAACCATCTCTCGTACCTACATCCATACGTCGGTGGCGTTTGTAAGTGGGACCACACACTATCCCAAATATGAAGCCTAGGTGTTGAAGCAGTCACGACAAATCACATAAGACCATGATGATACCTCGACGATCTGTTACCTCGTAGAACATAGATCTAGTAGGTAGCATCTATAACGGCTTTTAAGAATCGGTCGTCTACCGGGCTCTTCATAACGCCTTTTGTAATACTGTTTCAAATACTAGCCACACGCTCTTCCGAAAAAGGACTCTGCAAGGTGTCGGTCTCTGAAAGCCCCTGCCGGACTGAACAAGTTCACCCATCGTTGAGGCTTCCATTGTGTCCACCGATAACAGATGCGCGATATGAACCCTCAGGGTATTCATAACTATAGCCAACAAGTACCCCTAGAGCCACTTATTACCAATGAGTGGCTTGACAGAAGGAAAAGCCCTGAGCCTTGCAGGGCTTGAAAGTCCACGCCGCACTTGATTTCACTAGGGTCATTTCATGCTAAATTCATATCGTAAGTTATTAGACCTCACTTCACACAGGAAGTAGATGAGCCACTGATTAATCTATGTGATTTTATGCTGATTTAGGGTTGGCTAGAGACCAATCAGCGGACACCTAAAGTTTATACTTTCATCACCTCAATGCAAAGCTCGGAAGGCCTAGTCGGCTGTCTATTCTGAATAGCCATCAATCCTATAAGCTCTAACGTGACAGCCCTGACAGCCAGCCCTTTTTGGGTTTGGGCCCTACATCACTCGGCTGGATTCCACAAGCCTCGATTATGAACGCTTTCATCATGATTGGCCAGTCGCCCCGTATTGGCACCATATGACCTGCCTTGGTTCAGCCTATCTACCTTGACTGCTTTGACATGTGTCGACGTACCTTCTGAATGTTTGAAAAGCTTAGAGTTCTGAAAGAGTTGATATAAAGCAAGTGTCCTTTCACTCGGGATTATCGTGTCGTTCATGTCAACAGCTGAGTGACAATTTGTTACTGATTGATCTAAAGGCATATATTTGATCTTGCGGGGATATCAGTAAGACTTACTGTGAAAAGTTGGTATATCTACAGGCAAGGAGTCGTATATAGATTTGTGGGGATCCTTGTTCGAAACAAATCCTTTCAGCTAAGCGTAAGCACATCTGATACAATTTAAACAGCTAGATTGCCTTGAATGCATGCATACGCACCGGAGCTTAATATAGCAAACTTGAACTGTTGTTTAACCTTTGGCTGGAATCCCGGGATGGCCTCCGGGTTATTAATCTGTGTGTCTTTTCATCAGCCGATGAAATCGTGTGTGTTGTTGAGAGTCGCACCATGGCAAGTAGAAGTGCCGCCATCGCCGCTCCTTGGGAAACGCCAATAACCCCATCATAAGCGCCCGAGGACAATAGGTCTGACCAATAATGAATCTGTAACACCAGTCAAGAATAATAGGTCTCAAAGGGGTGTCATGCATATCAAACTAACGGTTTCTCGCCATCTGCTAGGCATATTTTTGTTAAATTCTAGGTTCTTCATTGTATCAAGAATCCACCACGGTCGCGGAGCTAATGCAGAACTGTCATTTAGGGGTGGACCATCTACGAAGTGAAGAGTGGCAATGTTTGACAACTCTGCTGTCAGCCTCGATATATTTTCCGCCACACCCTTGGAGGACTGTGCATAACCGTGGACAACTGATGTGTTGATCCATTAGCTTTAGCTTGGTAGGAGAAATTCAAATACAAAGAAACGGGCAGATACCTAGTATATTGAGAGGCATGATGGGTGGCGTAGTGATGAAATGTGTTAGTGTGAAGTTGCAAAAGTCGCTACTAACCCATAGACTTGGCGCGATCATGTGCAAAATGATGATGCGGAGATGACTCAACTACCTCAGACAGGTAATTCTCAGACATTAGCAGCCCTAGCTAATACAACGCATTGCACAGGTAAGCGCAAGGTAACGATGAGCTCGCAGTGGACCTATCAAGTGCCAAGCTCGTAGAATGGGACCGTGTTTAGACCCAACTTCTCAGCACGAGCCAACTGTAAGTGTCAGCCGGAGAAACCACGTAATAGGATTGACAGGCTGAATTGCCCAATCTGCCTGATTGTATCGTTATCTGTGACAGCAATAAACGCTCGAGCGTCAAATGGGACGAATATTTACGTAAGGTGAAAGGACACAGCTAGAATAACATGATTGTCATTACAAGATTGCCGCTTTGCTAATACTGGCTGCTAATTGAAATCTAGTTGAGTATAATTTCACGCATAGGGTGTATGACCGCTATATGAATCGACTGTGAAGGAGACTATATATTGGGTAATCGCCTCCCTTTAACATTGGGTTTTTTCACGATTATTCTGGTTATCCAAACCACAAACCATGAGTGGTGCTTACCAACTCGCAGACCAATCTTCTGTAGCTGGATGCTGGACAAGATAAGAATGTACCCAAATGATCAGTAATAGAGTAGCTTCTCGCTCTCCATAAACGGACTAAATCAAGTCATGATTCAGAGAATGGGAAGGCATTGAAGGAAAGACGCTTTCAGCCGCGTAGGAAATGTTTGGCGAGTCTCCTGAAAGCAAAAGTGGGACCCATTGCAGTTGAATGTAAACGATTTGAAATCGCTTTTCAAGGTCTGTTACCGCTTGAGACAGACGAGTTCAATGTTTTATTTGAGCTAAGGCCAGAAACCGAACTATCAAAGGAGAAAGATCAAGAAAATTAATGCGACACTGTACCTCAGATCAGGTTGTAGTAAAAATTTAAGAGACAAGGCTGTACGTTTTCTCACACTCATATACAGATATAGAAATTACAAACATTGAATGAACCGCTTGACAGGCGAAAGAACCAGCATCGCCAAACACATATAATTCAAAGAAACCGAGAACTCCATGTCCATTATGTTAATGGAATTCTCCAAGTCTAGGACCAAAATATTCTCCCTCAGCCAAAGACTTGAGCACGCAGTTCCCTGCAGCATCGCATCCTTCCGCGACAACATCATTTCCCCACCAACTCAACTCAATGTCCCACACCTGCAGTGCAAAGAAAATGACTATGCCAGAGATTGCAATGGCGCAAGAAAAGGCAGCTGAAGTTACAAAGTTATACTATTAAAAGCGATGTTAGCACTGAAAGTGAATCAGAGCAGTGAACCCTTACCTTTGACCAAAATCCGAGGAATCTCTTCTTCAAATACAGCCAAGAGAACGCAGCCACCGGCACTGCAGGCCACAGATAGGCTAGATTGTACGGCGCCCAAGCTAGTGCACCGCCCAGCATAACAACTGGATGAGCATTGCGAACGATCGCATTCTTTGGCCACTTAAGGCTCAGGACATAGAAGATAACCACCAGCAATATACCAAGAGGGAACCCGATAAGTGTGACTGAGTAAGGGCCGCCTACGCCCCACATCTTTCGAGGACCGACGGTGCCCCAAAAGACAGCTGCAGTAAAGAAAGTGTTGGGGCCGGGACAAGTAAACCGGAACGGCGCGTCGGGAGTGCAGATATTCTCAATGTGAACCTGGTACTGCAGGATGGCTACACTAATGAATGTAGACACCAACGTCGGTACCATCTGAGCCCAGAAAGTAAAGCGGGGAGCAATCTTGAGGTAGTGAGCGAGTTTGAGGTCTGCACTGAAGGAAAGGGCATGTGCGCAGGTGACATATCCATATGACTTGAAGAAACACATTGCGATGGCGTTGCCCTCAACCCAAACACCTCCAATGAACTCGGCAAGCACATTGAGTGTGACTTGCACGCCTGTCATTGCGGCAATAATTCCGATGGGAATGACGAAGAGGAGGCACAGACCGATTCCGTACAGAACCACGAAAGGAGTGGTGTTGGTAGGGTACGCAGCGATTCCAATCATGCCGATGGTAATAGAGATGACAAGGCAGATCATATACCACCACTCAGGCACTTCCTTGTAGGCCCTCATCAGCCTGTTGTGCACGTCAAGAGTGTTGCGGTCGATGTTCTCGCCTCCATCGTTTTTCTTCTTTCTCAAACTCGACCAAATGTCGCGAAGTCCCAACATGATCTCGTGTCGGTGGTAGAGAATGCCATAGGCAACGGTTGCCGAGTACAGTGCGAAGAAAAACATGTATACAACGATGTTTCCAGCAGACAGGAATGGAGGAGAGTAAGCTTCATACTTGGCGCCGTCAAAGATGCCCTTGTCGTCGATGATTGAGCTTACATTATAAGGAAGGCCAAAATGATCGAACGGCCGGTTGGAATTGATAGGCAGGTAGGCCGAGTTGAAAGCATTACTATAGTAAATAGCAATGATAACGAACATGGAGAAGAAAGCACCGATGAAAAAATTGAAGGTGGAGAAGAATGGCACCATGAGTGGGTCGACATTGAATGTGAGAATGTTCCAATCTAGACTCGGTAAAGGATTCAGTCCGAGGCCTGTGGTGCCTCCTGTAATGGTAGCGAGATCTCGATTGTTCGGAGCAAGCCAGGTCATCCAGCTAAAGTAGCTGAGAGCGGCGAAAAGATAATTTGGTAGCCAGAAATACACGAACATAAGGCCGAACGCCCAAGCAAAAAACTTGAGTCGCGGCATTCTCCAGATGGATTTCAGAGGGCCTAAGACAACTGCAGTCTCTGATGCTGAATCGTGGAAAGCCGAGTTCAGAGCAATCGTGACTAGTGATGTTGGCCAGACACAGTACGCAGGATAGACGAGAAACCGGCGGCACAGACCTGCCAGACCGTACCCAATGAAATTTGTTGAGAGTGCAATCAGGAGTTGATATGTGACCGAAATCGCGTAGGGTTGGTTGAAGTATCGGGGAAGAAACTGGATCCATACGATGTAGTTGGTGTATGGTGTACTCTTGGCGACATTTGACATGATAGTGATGAGCATGTGTTCCTTTTTGTTGAAGGGGCCCGGATTAAGACTATGTCGAACTCCGAAGAGTGTAAACCCCCAATCGGGTAGTGACCTTTCGAGAAACTTTCCAAGCGGATATGCTAAAAGCTGTGGAACTGTCGAGGTAACATAGATACTTGGTAGACGAACATCGAAGAAGGAGTTGATAAAAGAGATACAGCACGCGAAGAATATTCCCATTGCCCACGCGCGAATCGTGGAAACGGGCAATGAGGGATCATCGGTGTTATCAACAACTGCACGCACTTCGGCGTACGGTGAGTTGGTAGTAATTAGAACAGCTTGTATCTTCATTTCTTGAATGAGCTGTTCGTGGTCTTCAGGGTGTATAAAGACATCATCGTTGCCTGAATTTCTTATTAGATTGTAAAGAAACAGGCTAACAGGTCAACTAACTGAGGAATGATTCAATTTGTTGAATGATAGCTATGGGAAAGTTTGGATCCTTAGCATGTTGCTTGTATACTTGGGCCATCAACTACGAAGATTGTCAGCTAAAAGTTGTCCTTGGGCCAGTACCACATACCCGTTTTGTATCTTCGAGTGTAAACTTGTCCGCAAGTTCCTTAGCCTCGAGCAAGTCGTCTTCGGTGGCATTGAGCAATTCTTCATGGTCATCCGACCGGATTGACAATCGGTCCCTAGCTGTCTTTACTAATGTTAGACTAGTTTCGCCATCTTATTGGAGTCCACGATGCTTCATACCGAGATTTTCTCGCCCATATCGCTGGGCACAGCGGCCTGGATAGGTTGAGCTTTCATTATGACAGACTGAACAACCAGGCTCAGAAATTGTCTTAGTAAAAGTGCTAGGAAAGAAACGCTGAATCCCACAGAAAAACAACTAGACCTCCATTGCGGAGGCTGTCCTACATATCATCAGGGTCGAAGGCCTAATCCGGCACACATCCTTGCGGCCCCTGTCCTCTCCTGGAACATCTTGATAAGGCAAGATGGTGCGGCCAAGCAAAGCAGCCGAAAGCCCGGTCAGAGGCTGCGTTGCGAGAATGTATGTATTGCATAGCGAAGAAGCCTGTCGTGGGTGAGATTGCTGATACCGCTGGGTCGATTTGAGGCATTGTGTTTGAAGCAGATGTAGTCGCCATATCCTGGCCGTCTTAGAGTAAGCCACAGGGGCTCTTTAAGTTTTAGCCGATCATGCGGCGACAACGTTTTAGCCAAGCTCCAATGCCCCTTGAACCGCCAAGTCGGGTCGAGATAAGCAATAGATAAGGGCTGTAAGTCGTGTCGTAGAACGGAAAGTGGGGGTCCTAGAGTGTGATCTTAAGCAGATCTATCAGCAATTCAACCTCGTCTATTGGATGCATTGATGTCCTGAAACGAGTGAGAAGACAGATGGTCTTAGCTTCAATAACAACGGCATTGATGTTGACCTTGTCGAATATAGAAAGAAAATATAGCTTCGACGCCTTTGTACCAGCACCATGATTGATTGTAAAAGCTGACATTGATGCCATTTATCACGGAGCTGGCGCAAGCGGAAGTGAACCTCCCGGTTATCAGAGGTTCGAGAGACTGTACCACAAAAAGATCCCTGACCTGTTCGCTCAGATCTACAGATAAGGATGTCGCAGTAGCACAAGTATTTGCGATCTAAGTGGTCCTGATGACCTTCATGAGCGACGAGTAACAGTGATCCTGGATGTTTCAGACCTTCACATTTACTCGTGCGACAAAACTTCTAGGGTTGGCGTTCTTGATGTCAACTGGACATGATGCTAAATTAGGCTCTGATAGCGATTAGGCTTTACGAATACGGCTAGACAACAGCCCTATGAGTTTCAATCTAGGTCTAGTCTTCTCTTCTTCCTTACCTCGTGCCTTGCACTTGTCGAGGACGAGAAGAGATATTGGGCGCCCAAGGACCTTGTATCTTTGTGTTCAAACGAATTTGAAGACACCCAGTGTTATCTCTTTATGGCGTATGGCGTATCATGTTGTCGTGAAAGCTAAATGTAGCTCGACGAAGTACGCACGGATCGACCTGGTAAGTAGCTACCCTCCGAAACGAGATTCTGTCATGAACTAGTATTGGAAGGGCAATTGGTCCATATAGACAGTCTGACCTCCTTGGAAAACTTCCTCCCCCCGATTCAAAAGCGCTGAGACCTCGGACAACGGCGCAGCATAGCCCTATATTCTCGCTTTCTAAATCTTGCTGGTCCCATGAGAGCAAGGGAGCAGGAGGTCGTGGCTAGGTATGAAGGCACAGCCCTGGGATGCCTCGGATGTACTCTAGGGTAGTGGTCTTTCGACGTATATTTGAGTCGAGGCGAGTATCTGTGTACTCTGATATTATCATTAAAGTAACCCGCTAGCTTAGTATGTATTTGACTCTTGTCTTGGGTGATGAAACAGTATTTTGATATCTGTAATCTTTCTTTGATATCTCTCTACCAGTATCTCCGGGTCGCAAGCCGGAGTAGGTAGCCCAACCATGCTGTCCGTCGTCTCAGCGGGGACAACATGCGGTTTCTCGTCGAGGGTGCTGACATTCACCGATGAAAGAAATCGTATCGTGAATGACATCGCGATGTTGGCCGCCAGAAATCTGCCTGGGCACATCACGCCAAACAGTCCAAACATCTTCATCTTCCGCCTCTCTTTCTCATCCAGACTTCCATCTGTTTTAAGGAATCTTTGTGGTCGGAACTCGTCAACATCGTCACCCCACACATGCTTGTCCACGTGATGAGGCCTCACGGGAGCAATGAGATTTGTCCCTTTTTTGAGCAACCATCTGTTCGCTATCGTTGTATCCTCTTGCACATATCTTGCAATAGAAAACCCGCTGTGATAACGCAGTACCTCATTCCAAGTCGCGCTCAGCTTCGGACATCGTGTCGGTATCTCGGCCAGATCTATCTCGCCGGCTTGTTCGTCAACGAAGGCATTGATTTCTTCCCGAAGACCGGTCTTCCAATCATGATCCGCCAATAGGTGATGCACTGTCCAGGTCAATACCCCTACGATGTTCGGCAGAGCACCGGCTAGCAGTAGAAGCTGGAAGTCTGTCCAGTCTTCTGCAGCTGCGCCGTGATTGTCGCAAGCTAGCCGTAGACGCCCAAGTAAACTATCAGCAGGATACTCTGTGTTAGATGCACTGCGCTCTAGTTCTTGACGAACAAAACGACGAGATTCGAGCAACTTGCGATCAATGACGAGCTCCACTGGGCTGCTGAGCGTTCGCAGATTCTGTAGCATTATCTTCAGATGCCGTAAAAACTCTGGGTTGCTGAAAGGGCTGGTAGTCTTAGAGTTTTCCCCCCAAAGGACCTTGCCAAGTGCACCAACTACTGTCGTGAACACCCATTCTTCGACGCGAATTTTGTTGATGCCACCATGCTGCGGTACGAGTTTCGAGAACTCATCATGAATATGCCCGTCGAGTTGCTCAATATAGCGGCGCAGATTGCGGTTCGGAATAAATTCCTCACGGAAGATGCGTGCGATCTGTGGGCCGAAGCCGTGGCTTTCTTTGAAATCTTCATTGAGAACTGCGCATGAGTGTTCTCCAAAATCCAGAGCTCGGCGAAAGATGGTAGGAACAAGCGGGTAGAACTTGAGATTTCGTATTTTGGGGAGGTGTTGTCGTAGCTCAGGCTGGACAATGGAGACTTTTATATTGGCCATATTGATGGTAAACACAGGCGAGGGCGTTGAACGACAGAGACTGCTGAAATACTCTTGGCCATCTCTTACATAGTTGATTACATGACCGATCAGCGGGAGTTTCGAAGGTATTGTCGGCGGAAGAGTAACGCCATCAGGCTCAAGATGACTCTCCTTAGAGTGATTATTGGACTTGGACTTTGATTGTTGTGCGCGATAGACCAGAAACTGTATGAGAAACAGCAACAGAGCATAACTGATCGCAGCAGGATCGGCCTCTTGAATGAGCGTAGCTATCATGTTGAGATGCTCCTGATCGCCTGTGGTGCCCGCTTCTAGAGAGAGGAGAAGAAGAAGAGAAGAGGACGACCCAGCAATTGAGAATCATCACAAGCAAGGGTGTCACAATGAAAAGCAGGAGTCCATGTATACGGCATGGCCGCTCATCAAAGCCAGGTATCCCATGGTCCTTCATGGCCTAGAGTGGCCTAATGCTTTCTCTAGTATCCATTTTAGGACGGAGATATGAGCATGTGGCGCGTGTAATGTACCGATCTGGTGGTACTCCAACACACTAATTGACCCGCTGGTAGAGGGCGCAACGCCCCCTGCACCTCGCTTGAGCTCAGCTAATGGACGGTTCGATGCGATCTCGAAAGCATCAAACGTTTGATGTCGCGGCGTTTCCACCTCTGAATCCATTAGCGAGGACGTCCGTCAAAAGGTCGTTTACGCAGTACAATGAAGGCTTGCCGTTACGCAGTCATGGCTGCATCCGCTGGTTGTCGGCCGTTGGCTCCTCTATGGCGGCCGTTCTCGACAATCGATGATATTCTTCGTTGACCACATTTGGACATGCCTAGCGTGATCCTAAGGCAATAGTCCAGATTTCGAGCGTAGCTGAAAAGATCCAGGCCTAAAGTTTGGGCCTTGAGCCTGTGGAGAAAGACACTAATAGCGCGAGGCTTGCCAATAGTGTCCCCAAAAGCGTAGCCCGACCCCTGACTTCAGCACACTGGGCTAGATCGATCTTTTGATGGACTGAAAAGTGATGATGCCAATGCGAATTTCCCATGTGTAGTCGTTGCTCGTGGCGTACATATAGAGTCGGTCCCAAGACGATGGCCCCCAGAGATCTATCGTGGCTCTCGCTAACAGCCCCTGCCATACCGACGTATTCACCGCATTCCACTGCTTCGCCATGAAATTCTCCATCTTCCTCCTGCCTGCAGCGTGTGTCTCGGCTGTCTACGCCCATGGCTTTGTAGACCGCCGTGCCGACAAATGCGGCGCTGGTAACAACTGCCAGCGCGGTGTAGGTGGTACTGCTGGCGTCAAGCCTCCTTTGACCAGCCGCTTGGCGGACTGCTCGAGCCTCAATACCGTGACAGTCAGCCCCTCGACTACGTATGCATAATGTTCATCATCACTATCGAAAATGACTTTGCTAATGAAAAACCATAGTACAACTACCAGCACAGTCACGGTACTCTACGGCGGTGTGCCAACTGGCATTACGCCACGCTCTTTCCCGCCATCCCAACCGCAGAAGCGGGAAGAGGTTGGAGCCACTACCATTACTCCAACAGTTGTGCCAACATACGCAACGTACTGCTCGTCGGCCTCGGCCTACTACAGCGCCTGCTCGTGCGCCGGTGTCACCCCTGTGACGACGACCTTGCCGACGCCGACAGAAACAGTCTACACAACCACCTCTGTGTGCGTTGCCAAGAGGGCAATCCGTAGGGGTCTGGAGGCATTGGGTTACGAGGTTGATGAGCACTTTGATGCTGTATACTACCCTGGAATCAGATTTCTGTAGGCGCCTCTGTACGCTGGAGTGGATGGAGTACAGTCCTTTTGTAGCCTAAGAGGTGGACACTGTAGCGATTCAATCGAATATCAACTCTGATCTAAATGCTTCTTGATCAAATCTAAGGCCAGGGATTCATAGGTGAAATTGTTTGGCTTTATGGGTAATCAATTACAGCACCCAGATATGGTTTTTTTGCGACCAGTATATACCTTGACCAGGTTCAGACGGGCTTACAGCACTGCCATAATGCAGTACGAAACACGAGCTTGTCTAACTTGCTCTTAATTCTTCTGCTCTCTGAACATTTCTGATCAGTGACGACCGGGCAAGGAGATTGAGAATCGTTGAGGCACTTTCCCATCAATGATTTCTTGTAGAACCGTGAGTGGCCAATTAGCGCACTAGAACGCGCACCGATGTTTCCCGATTCGGAGGCAGGTTCCGGCCTCGGATAGCCCCGGATAGCTTCCGAAGTTCGTGCTAGCACGTTTCTATCTTACAAGGTGAGACGGAGCATTCGCATTTAAGTGACCTAGTATTTGAGAGATTGACATTGATTATGTGCTGTCATTTTGTGAAGCCAAATTCTCACGAATATGGCAGGTTTAACAAACGTCGTAGAACCGTCCGTTATCCGATCGAAGTTCTCTCGATCCATTTCCGAGCTGTACAGAAAGGAGGTCCCGCTATACGCAGACCTTTTATCTATCGTTTCAGAAGTAAATACGCAAGAGCTATCGAAGCAGCCTGAACTTGAAGCACAATTGAGATCCACGGGGGAGCTAGGACGGCTTTCACTCGAGCGCCATGGCGCCATCCGGCTCGGTACAGCAAAGGAATTGAGGATTATGGGGAGGCTGTTTCGAGTCATGAATATGCATCCAGTCGGATATTACGATCTCTCAGCTGCAGGTGTTCCAGTGCATGCGACCTGCTTCCGACCCTGTGAGCAAGTCGAGCTGTCTAGAAATCCGTTTCGGATGTTCACGTCTGTGCTGAGGCTCGAACTCATCCCGTCAGATTTGCGGAAGCTTGTGGAAAGGATATTATCAAGGCGACGTATCTTCTCCAAAAAAATGCTTGAGCTGATTACGAAATCGGAAATAAACCAGGGTCTCACGGCCAGCGAAGCAGACGAGTACGTCGTAGAGGCGATGAAGACGTTTGCGTGGCATTCTACCGCTGTCGTTACCCTAGATGAATATGAGCTTCTGAAAAAGCAGAACCCTCTCTTGGCTGATGTCACTGGATTTCGAGGGCCCCATATCAATCATCTTACGCCTCGGACATTGAATATCGATGCAGTGCAAATCAGCATGAACAGATTTGGCATCCCGGCAAAGGATACAGTCGAAGGACCTCCAGCACGAAACTGTCCTATCCTATTGAGACAAACCAGCTTCAAGGCCCTCGAAGAGAAGGTCAAATTTCGCAAGCATGGAATGAACTTTTCTCCGGGGTCGTTTGTCCTTATAGATGACGACATGACCGAGGAAGCCGACGGAATCGAAGGCGGCCACAAGGCCAGATTTGGAGAGATAGAACAACGCGGTGCAGCAGTAACGCCAAAAGGTCTGGAAGTTTATAATTCGATGTTAAGTCAAGCTCGAAGAGACGGGATAGATTCTCGCGATGCTGGATATCATCAAATTTTCTCAAAGTTTCCAGATACCTGGAAAGAAATTCACGATCAAGAGCTGGCATGGTTCTTCTATAGAGTTGCGAAAATTGATGGCTTTGAGAGGGAAATCTGCTGCGGCCTTTCAAGAGAAGATGTGAGGGAGTTGCTAATCGGAGAGGGATTTATTTCTTATGAACCGCTGGTGTACGAGGATTTTCTACCCGTTAGCGCAGCTGGCATTTTCCAAAGTAACCTAGGCGTCAGTTCAGAAGAGGGTGTTGGCAATCTAGAAGCGGATAGTGGAGACCAGCAAGGATTCCAAAATGCTTTGGGCGACTTGAAAATCTTGAGTCAAATGGAGTTATATGAGGTGGCGCAAAGGGAGAGTTTGGATCGTTGCCTCTCACACTTCGGTCTAGATAGCAACATTTAGGTAGTTCAGTGTCATAGGAGTCCTGCAAGCTAACAAGGCTAATAAGCAGCTGCTTAAAGGAAAGAGGCTTAGGGGCCGACCTAGGCTAGCGCTTAAAATAGCGACAGTAGATCCGTTCCTCCGCGTCTTCAATCTGCGCGTCATTCAGTCATTCAGACTTGCTCAGAAGACGATGAGCCTACGATGAGAAAGTACATGAGCAAACGGCAGAGACCATGTGACTTCTGCCGCTCGCGAAAGAGCGCCTGTCGCATCGAGGGCCAGCCGCCGTGCCGCTTGTGTCTGTTGCATGGTCGAGATTGCACTTTCGTGGAGGCAGCGCAGCCGCGAAAGAAGCCAACGGAGCCATCAACGACCGACGTCCTGCCCCACGAGCATGGCATTGGCGCAGACGGACATGTTGTTGACGCGCGAATTGATCAGATCGATCAGACTGGGTCTCGTGCAAATGCTCTGGTCATGGCTGACGCATCCACTGTGACTCAGCTCCCGCCTGTCAGCTCGGTGTTCCCCGATATGGGCATGGACTTCCTCTATGACCCAGCATTAGATGGCTCGGAGTATCAATTCATGTTCAGAACGCCGCGAAGCCCTGCATCAAACCTGTCCCATATTGGGCGCTCCTTCGATAGCGTGCCTATTCGGACTGTGTCCCCAGCTCGATCTCAACCGAGCTGGAGATCACGAAATGATGTTTACCTCAACGATACTGAGGTTACAAATTCCGAGATCCTGGGACTTAGTGGAGACATGGATCCATACTTGTTACAGAGATACCGGACTGATGATGCGGGCGTCTTTAAGTTTAAACAACTCGCGATCCATTCCGTTCAGGATGAGCCGATACCGGTGCAATTCTTGGTCTCCCGTCCGTCTATTTTTGCGGAGAGCCGAGAGGAGACCGGCCAAACATCAAGCGACGTTTCGCAACTCAAGGGGGAACTTGAACAGGTCGTTTCGGCTGAGATGGGTCGTCGACTGATCAAGCTTTACGAGAGGTTCATAGCACCACAGTATCCCATATTCTCGACACAGTCATCCCCAGATCCAGTCACCAGCCCCGTGCATCTCCTTGCAGCTATCTACTCCATTGCGTTTCAGTTCTACATGCACGATGACAAGCTCTGCATTGACTTAGCCTACGACTCGCTACCCTACTCAACCCTGTCCCATCTGATCAATCGGGCCGTGGCAGTGGAATTCCATTCACCAAGTCTTGCCAGCGTTCAAACACTTGTATTGGTTGTGGCTCGTTCGTCTTCAAATCATTTGATCTCTGATGCATCCTATCGATGGGCTATGCTCGGACTGGCCGTTGCTCTAGCCATGAACCTTGGCCTACATCTCGACCCATCATCTTGGACGATAGAACCTTGGCAGGCGGCCCAAAGGCGTAGGATTTCTTCTTCCATATATGCTCTTGATCGATGGCTTGCCGCAAGCCTAGGCAGACCGCCACATATTGACGATGCGAATTGGCTGGTCACTTCGGTACACGCAACTGATTACCTTGACTCCGGCTTGACGTCCGAGCAGTGGGCGCAAGCCCTCGAGTTCTCAGCATTGACTACAACATTGAGCAGAACTCTCTCTGAACTCTAGTTAGTATCATCCGTTCTCATTATAACAGACGAATACTTATTTGTGACAGTTCTTTGAGAGCGGTGCATGACCTCGATAATAATCCTGAAAGAACTGCGGATATCGGAAGGAAATTACTTGATATCCTCCCCATGGCATCTTCTCCCGTTTCCGATGCAGGCCATAACAGCTCGTCTGATCACTCTATCACGGTTCCATTGATAGAGCTAGGACGCCGTTTTGTGAAACTCATAATCTCACGAGCGTTATTGCGACCGCATCTCTCCGCAAGCTCAGACAATAGTACGCGAAATGGACGGAGCAATAGTAAATACCTACATGATTCTGCACGTGCAGTGATGCTAGCCTCCCAGGAGTCCTTTTTGGACTTCATACGGCAGATGAAGTCAGAGGACATTGTCGGGTTTTGGCCACCTTGGTGTCAAACAGCGTTCTCCTCGCTCTGCTTCTCCTGGTTGCTAATGATCATATCCTCTAATACATATGAGGAAGCTAAGATCTGCATCGAACACTTGCAATCAACCCGAAAAGAGCTTCGTCTTAAGGCCACACCATTCCCTGTCTTACGATTAGGATTACTACGGATAGACTCAATTTTCTGGCGCGGAATCGACAAGGTCTTGGCACTTGATCCACACGTTGACCAGGCTTTCCGTGACTTTCAAAGGTCATGAGTTGACTGCTACACGACAACGCAGATCTTCGTTGATCCACAACTTGTTTTGGTGTCAACATTTGCATCATTCTTGACATAGATCATCTACAAGTGCGGCTGAGGATTTTGGCCCCTAAGTTCCCGTAGGATATCCTCGACGGTTCTCACAGCTTCCCATGCCATACCATAGCCAGCCTGAAACCCGGTACCGCCAGCACCGTAATTGTGGACGACGGTGCGCTTCTTTCCGGCCACCGATACCTGATCTCTCTCGACTCGTGCACCACCTTCCCGAGAAGGCCTGAGCCCAGCGAAGACAGCCAGAATCTCAGGTTTATCTTTTCGGAGCTCTGAACTGAGTCTTGTTGTCCGGTCTAAGATGGATTCGGTCTCATAAGAGTATGTCGCACCATCACTAGCGAGAAGTTATTATATGGTGAGCAAGAAGAGGGATAAAAGTGTCATCATCATAGGCTTACTCGTTGCCTTTTTGCATGTATCCACCAAGGATCACATTGCCGTTCGAACCAGGTCTTGGGATCACATAGGTCTCATAGTCCCGACCATGTCGCATAATGTTTGATGTGACGTGCGGAGCTCGACTCAGAAGAACTTGTCCTCTTGTCGGATAGCATTTGGCATCCTGAACCCCTGGCATTATCTTGGCGGCATTACCTGCACAGTTGAAAACAATCCGGGTTGCGGGGTTGACAAATGCGTCTTGTATGCTAGATATCTTTTGTCGCACAAACCGTACGCCGTACTGGTCTTTCAGGCGATGATATAAGTACTCCACATGCTTTGGAGCGTTGATTGTAACGGTGGTAAAAGACACGGCATATTTGACGCCCTCTGGTAATTCTGAGTCTGGAAGAATACGGAAGTCCTCAAGATATTCTCCCATGGCCTCGATTTTGTCATACGGTATCTCCTCATCCCAGAGCTCAGTTGACGGCGTCCGCTTGACGAATGATTCGTCTGGCTTCTCGGACGCGAGCTTGGTCAGATGTGCATATCCAAGCCGATCCCACTTCAGCTCGTTCGGGCTACTGCCAGAAATGGCCGAGAAGTTGCACCCCGCCCTGTTAAAGAAGAGTCAGAGACCAGCTCTTACATAAAGGTCTTGCAAACAAAGATTGGCAGTCAATACGCACCAAGGCGACGTGTAAGCTATGGAAGTATCACCGGGCAGGTGCTCGGCCAATATGGTGATGGAACGCCCGTAGCCGCGCTCGGAGAGGACAAGAGCAACATTGAGGCCGATAATGCCCGCTCTTAATAAGATAATGCATTAGTACCACACGATATTTGCGCGAGAAGCATATAATACTTACCCAACGATGACAATACCTTCATTTCTATTCATATTTGCAGACCCGGCGTGTTGGATCACCGTCTCGAATAGAATCCGCGGCACCTTTTCCCTAAAAATCAGAAGATAAATAGAAAGATCTATATCCTTGTCAGTTTCCAAAATCTTCTAGATCGTATGACATGCCATTTGAAATTCTCATCTGTATGTTCTGGGTGCTAGATTAGACTTACACCAGTGCTATGGTACTGGATGACGGCTTCGAATTTGATTGGTGGCGTTCGCCTCCATGTTCTCCACCTAGCGCAGTGCTCACCCAACTGAAAGGCCACACAGCATTTTGCTAATTACAGTTGATCATACTCGGGTAGATATCACCTAGCTTGGCCATTTAGCTCTGGCACTCAGATCAGGTAATTGAGAATAAGTATTTATCCAACCTCTAAAGTCGCACATAATAATAACAACAGTATGGGTATTCTTAAGATCGCGTTACTCCCTTTACCATTTTTCGAGCTGTCCATCTAAATACATGCCATGTACATTCCAAACCTCAACCAGAGTCTCCGTGATGCACGTCTCGGAGGACCTTTGCAGTGTCCTCAATAAACTCAAAACTCCTTGACAGACCCCTTTCTGGGTGGTTATAATATCCAAAAGCATGAGGCACTCCAGCATATCTTTTCATGGTCACTTCATTGCCGACATCCATCAACATCTTCCCATAGAACTCGCCCTCGTCGCGCTCTAAATCATACTCTGCAGTCACTATATGAGCTCGGGGTAAGCTTTTGAAATTTGGAGCCAAGACGGGAGTACAGGTCCAGTCATGGTATAGAATACGATCTTGCTCGTCTAGAATCCGGTCAGCAAGCGAGGTACCATTCTATTTCCAAAAGTAGCATACCGGGATCTTCTCCAAGCCAATATTTGAGAAACCACTGTTCGCGTCCCAGGGGGCTCCATTTCAGATTCTGAAACAAACGGGCACTTTCGTATGGGCAATTGTCCGGCGTCAGCTCCTTTATGTTCAAGCTGCAATATCTCATGTCCGTAGCCGGTACAATCATGAGGTGAAGTTTGATATCAATGGCTTCGTCGCGAGCGAAATGTGCTAGAACGGCAGACATGTGACCACCTGCTGATAACCCACCAAAGGATACACTTTGGGGATTAATGTTCAGACTGCCAGCGTTCGTGATAGTCTTTTCCATCCTCATTGTTAGCCTGGTCCATATAAAGTCCGAGCTCAACGTAACTGACCCATTTCACTGCATCCCAGCAGTCGTAGATGGCGGTGGGGAATTTGAACTCGGGACCCATGCGGTAGTCAACATCAATAATTTTGATGTTGGCTTTATTGCACATGTGCCGGCACCAAGCCGCCTCTGATTTGAGACTTCCTAGAACCCATCCTCCTACACCTTGTTCAGCTTCTTTTCACGCGTGATGAAGACAAACAGTCAATCACTTACCGCCATGGAAGTTGAGGTGAACAGGAAATGGCCCTTTTCCACGAGGAGAGTAAACCCTGACTTGGATAACTCCTTGGGGCTGATGTACTGGCACTTGTCTATCTTCAACATGAAATACATCAGGTCCTGGGACGATGCAAATGTTAGCCTATATTGTGTATAGGAATGACATGAAGTGAAGAATATTTACCGTCATATGTGGCATAGGTGAAGCTATATCTGCCGGGTGCCATTCGATATTCCTCGATAGTCACTTCATCGGCTCTGTCGAGCTGGCTACCGTGGTCATTCCAAAGCTTCCGCCATTCTGGGTCGATACCGGGTAACTCATCATCGTCGATAGCAAGCCGTCCTGACTGTACTAGAGACGCTGACGGCGAGAATATCCGTGTTGTCGTTAGTGTGGAGGACATTTTGATGAGAAACTAAAATGTCATTCGATCACATTTGAATGTCCGAGAGAGAAAGAGCATAGGAGCTGTTCAGCAAGGGACAATGCTCCATGGGTCTTGGTAGTCGACACATCTGTGTGGAGAAGACGAAGCGGGTCCGTTTGTCATCATAATAACGAAAGTATGGAGGCAATCAAGATCTAAGGGTTTCCTGAACAAGCAGATCTGTCATTCTCATTGCCTATTACGTTTGCCCTTTCCTTTGGTCGCGATGGCTCCTCCTATTGGCGGCGTTCTCATAGCCCGCATGGAGGCCGATCTCCCACGCCGGGGCCCCACTACGCCGGTCCCATCTCAGTGATAGGCATGATAGGCCCGCGCGGACGCCGCCAACGGGAGGCCGCAAAATTCTCCAACTCCAGATTCATTATCTCTCGGCCAAGGATTCCGCTTTGCCAACAACGGCGACAAGCGGACGTGGGTGCAATGATTCCCAAAAGCAACTCTTCTCCCGCAACTCTTAAAGGAGCCTGCGGACGGAACATTCGTGTGATGTCGAATCAGCTCATTCTCCATCATCATCGACTCACCAATTAGCTCATCTTCGTTATTGCTTGCCTTTCGTGTTGCAATGGAGATCGAAAACAAAGCCCCTGTCGCCCCAACGGCCACCACCAACAGCATGGTGGATCACGAAACTAAGCATGCGCCTGCACCGCAATGGGATGCTCTTCGCAGAGTGCCCGACAAGCTGCCCATCATCGCGCTCTTGATTCTCGTCGTAGAGCTGGGCGAACGGTTCACGTACTTTGGCCTTAGCGGTCCCATCCAGAATTATATCAACAATCCATACGACCCAGATTCAGACCTCCCGGGGGCTCTCGGTAAAGGCCAGGCTGTCGCGACAGCATTGGGTAACTTTTTCAAGTTCTGGGCGTATGCATCAACTGTCATTGGTGCCATAGTGGCAGACCAGTACCTCGGGAAGTTCAAGGCTATTGTGTGCGCCTGCGGAATCTATATCGTCGGCCTCGTTATTCTAGTTGCGACATCCACTCCTAATGCTCTTACCCACAACGCTGGTCTTGGTGGCTTAATTGCTGCCATGATCACGATAGGACTTGGTACTGGAGGCATCAAGGCGAACGTGACGCCATTAAGTGCCGAGCAGTACACTAATGTTCATCCCGTGATAAAGACTCTCAAGTCCGGAGAACAGGTTGTTGTCGATCCAGAGCTCACAGTTCAACGGCTCTTCAACTATTTCTATCTAGCCGTCAATATTGGTGCGCTATCGCCACTAATCACAGTCAACATAGAGGCACACCATTCATTTTGGCTAGCCTATCTGGTTCCTCTCATCGCCATCGTCATCTCTACCACCGTTTTCCTCATGGGCAAGAACAAGTATATCAAGGTACCGCCAATGGGCTCGGCGATTCTCGATGCTTTTCGCACTATTGCAGTTGCAATCAAGGAGAAAGGCTTCGTCAATGCACGCCCCTCAATGCTCAGAGAACGAGGTCATGCAAACAACTACCCAATCGCTAGTCAAGCAAGATACACAGACAAGTATGTTGATGATGTGCAGAGCGGGCTCAACAGCTGCAAGGTATGAAGGCGACTATATCAAAATCATAATTGATATTAGATCAACTCTAACTTGATCCCAGATGTTCCTCTTCTTTCCTTTCTACTTTATCTGCTGGAACCAGATGTGGAACAACCTTATTTCTCAAGCTGGACAAATGGCATTGCACGGAACTCCAAACGACCTGCTACAGAATCTGGATCCTATTGCGCTGATTATATTCATTCCATTGCTGGACTGTAGGTTCCCTTTCTATGTCCAAGTCCCATTGGACTGTGCTAACATTCCACCTCGTAGTGTTCGTGTACCCCTTTCTGCGCAAGTACAAGATTGACTTCGACCCGGTGACTCGTATATTCACTGGTTTCATGTTCGCCTCCATCTCCATGGTATACGCTTCTGTGCTACAGCATTACATCTATAAATCTCCTCCAGAGAGCATTCACGTTTGGATTCAAGCACCCAGCTACGTACTAATTGCGTTATCGGAGGCTTTCGTCATCATCACAGGCCTTGAGCTGGCTTTCACCCGCGCACCCAAAAAGTAAGCACCGTTTCCCAGTTTCTTTCGCTGTAAATGATTATTGAAGCTCACATGTCTTACTAGTCTACGTTCCGTGATTTCGGCCCTATTCTGGCTAACGATCGGCATTGCTGCCGCCATCTGTATCGCACTAGCCAGTGTATCACAAGATCCTTATCTGGTCTGGATGTATGGCTCCTTGGCCATTGTTGCATTCGTTGCGGGCTGTGCATTCTATGCATGCTTCTTTTGGAACAGAAAGCAGTGGTCTAGACGAGAAGATGTCATCATTGAGGGACACGCTATGGAACATGCTATGGAGATTGACGGCGGTGTTCGGTAGATGTTAAATATTGTTTAATCAATGGATCTATATGTTGGTGAGGCTGTAATACGAGGATTTCGGTCATATTTGTTTGACGCCTTGATAAGGAAGTCATAGAACCCCGAAAATAGAATCCCGTGTCATGCAGCTAACATGGCTTACGCTGCTTTTCTCTTGACTCTGATCTTGGCATCTAGGGGTGGAATCCCAAAGCCAGCAAACCAAGTAATTGGAGGTCTTTTGCCGCCATAGCTTTCTGGGAACTCCATGTCGTAATTCATAATTGCATAAGCCATGATCATCTTGAGCTCAAAGTCAACCAAAAAGCGACCTGGGCACGCGTGTTTTCCGTGGCTGAATGGTAGATAATCAGCTGAAGTTGAGGAAAAGCTCAGGTTATTCAAGCCGGGCTTCTCTGTGGACGGATCTCTGGCAGCCTCGCGTAGACGAGAGAAGCGGAATGGATCAAATTTCAACGGGGCATCCACATTTTCCTCATCGGTCTGCGCTTGGTGTGCTAGAATGGAGACCGTTGTGCCTTGCGGTAGCCGAATGCCATCTGGGGTCACCACACCCTCCTTTGCGACGACTAAGCGCTGCACAGTACGTCCAATGAAGGAATTAACACGCAGAGTTTCGCGCGCGACACTGTCAGCTCTCGTCATGGACGCCACTTTGGCTTTTGTCCAGTTCTTGGAGGCGATGTCGTTGCCGCAGCCTAGCACCCGAGTCACCTCTTCGCGGAGAACAGAAATTGTGTCAAACTCTGCATTCGAATCCAGAAGGTTGAGGAAAAGGTTGTGTAAGGTGACTATTGTTTGATGCATGGTTCCGAAATTAGACACTGCAAGGCGTTTTGTCATGTCTTCGACGTTCGTTAATTCTTCGGGACGTTCTCTCATAGCATACTGCATCATCATTTGGAGGAGATCTTGCGGGACTTCCTGGCCTTTATTGGGGTGATGTCGTTCCAAAAGTTGCAATCTCTCGCGATGTAATGGCTCAAACCGGGTTTTGAGGTCATTGACTTTCGCAGGCATGGTTCTGACCACCCAACGAGCTAATAGTGGCCTCACAGCCCTTTGGGTTTCTGCCATGGTTCCAGCTACATCTAGCATGCCATCTAGAACGTTATAACAGCTCTGTACGAACCCCTCGTCTCGACCTGATTGTACAGATTAGTATTGACTCTACCCGTAAGCAACGAACTTTGGGCTTACATAATTCTTTCCCCTTAGTAGAGTCCCCGAGAGTGAAGCGTAAGGTGGCTCTGCCTCCTATCATACGACAGGCTGGGAAGAGGTCGATCTCTTTCCAATTGTTTTCATCAGTCCCGAAAACAGTGTCAAAAGCAGCCTTAAGCTCATCGTTCATGACAGCACATACTGCCTCCAATGCGCTATTTAGATCCGTCTTCACCAGCATGCCAGGCCATGGGTCATGAGCAAATTTGTGGCCCAAGCTATAATCAAGTTGAATCTGGTCAATCTGTGCGGCCATTGAGCTCACTATGCTATCTGGCTGTTTACAGAGCCATTGGAGTGCACTTGGCGGGAGGATGACCTCGTCCTGAGGCCCAAACACTGGGATCAAAACAGAGCGACCATTCTTAGAGTACTGTTTGGCATATTAATGTCTGGAGCTCTACCATTGAAGGCCTAATGACGTTGACTATTACCTTTTCATAAGCCTCTTCGTAAACTGCTGTGCAGTCCGTTTGAAACTTCTTCCGCATGTCAGCCCAGGATAGTCCATCTTGAGCTCCCAAGCGTGGTAAATTTTGTGGGTAAATTATTGTATGGAATTTCCAATAAGCAATAAGAGTGACTGATATCAGTACGAAGCTAGCAAGAGCAATTTTTTGCAAGTTGCCTAAGTTTATCGCTATCTTGTAGATAGCTTCCATATCGAGCGATACCATGATGCTGTTACTGTTGTTGTTGAGGCTCTTAGAGGTGGAAAGCTATGAGCCGAGGCGTACACAAGAATTTCTACAGTACCACGAGAAATAAAACCAAATAAAAATTTTGAGCATGTACTTTTGGAAATGGCAACACAAGAGACTCAATAGGGGAACCTCTGGCGCGCGGGAGTGCTCCACACGATGTCGGCATCTGATGATCTGATAAGATCAGATTGACAAGCTAAGTGGAGGCCCCCTCCGGGTTTACGTCGTCATAGGCTAGCTGCAGTGAACATCGAAATCTCACTAACGCGTCAGAACGGGTCCACGATGCTTGACATGAAAAAGCTTTTCATCTTCGGATAATGGAAAATCTGTAGAACGCTCCGTTGTGCAAGCCACCATACGCTTAGAGGAAACACATCTTACGGATCTGCTGACGCCATGAAAGCCGTCTTTGAGCTAGGTTCACTGAAATGAGCAGCGGAAAATGACAAAGTGAAATCATTCAAAGCCAATTGACGTTATAATCGTCACAGTTTGCATCACTGGTAGCGTCGGTCTTGGTGTAATTGGCACCATGAACGTAAGAGCGAAGCCCCAAAAGTGTAGAAATACAGGTGCGACCAGACTACAACTGACCTGGAAAACTCTTGCTCCCCGGACGTAACCTAGAGGCGAAAATCCCATGATCTACATAACGCCAGTGTAAGCCCAACGGTGAGCCACTGATGGGACGTCCAATCGTGTTAGAACGGAAGTTCCCGCCCTGTGTTTGGTACTTTCTAATACCCCTGACATGAAACAAAATCATCGGCAATAGGAGTGGACACTGAAAGAAAGAAATGCCCCGCAAGCTAGGACAACAAGAGCAACGTTGAACTAGACTAAGCAACTGCCGGCAATGCTTCAGCTAAGACTTGCTGCTGAGTGCTGGAAAGACCAATTGCCCGAAGACCTGCCAGGTCTCCACATGAGAGAATTTTCTTCTCGAATGTTTGAGCGGATATATGGAGCTTTTGAGAAAGTGTCGCACAAGTCACTAGAAAATGCGTTCGTAGGATCACCTAGTTATTGGATTTTATTTAGGGTGTGCTAATTTAACCTCAAATGTTCTACAGGATTTTGATTTTGTCTATATAACGTTCCATACATCCGAAGGCGCGACTAGTTCGTCTGTCAGGAGAAATGGGCTTAAGAATTCATCTGATAAGAAGCTATCCTTGTTGAGCAGATCACCCGCCCCGAACCATCCGTCGAAGTCATCGATACCAAACGGTGTAACGGGTACCTGATTATGCTGCTCCTCGCGACGCTTTCTTGTGACGGATGGGGATAATAGATTGAAGTCGGAGCGAGAGTCTGGCAAGAACGGCGTATTAATGTGCATAGAGCTACCCGGCGGTGTGGGGCGACGTCTAACGGAGCTCCCTTGTCTAGACGTAGGAGGACATGAGGCCAATGTCATGTGTTGACGTTCTAGTCGTTTTGCGTGACGTACATATGGCCTAGAATCGTTGATGAACTGCGACAAATGCCTCGGCATCGTGTCTGTAGCCGAGACACCTGGCAGGTTAGAAGTGGTTATTGTAGATTGACAAACCGACGGATGGTCATGTTGATGGAACTCTTCGTCATGAAAGCAGCAACGTCCACGCTTTCCGTTCTGAACAACATCGACTGTAAAGCCTAAGAATTCTTCAACGACGCCGCGACATTTCTTCGCTCCAGGCCAATAATATTCGAGATCCTTGAGTGCATTCGTACCACTCTGAACATGACCTAAGACCTCACTCATGGAGAGCTCATCTTTAGAGACACGAAGGCAATGCAGAAGTAGAACACAGCTGACAAAAACTTGCTGTCCATATAATGATAAGAAGTGGCACGGAGGAATGCTTCGCAAGCAATCAGACGTCGATCCAATGCAATTGATCGCAGCCCTAGCACACTGCTTTACAGTCTCGACACTGCCCAAAGGTGATTCGCGGTGTGGATTCGACATAAAGGGCCGATGCAGCAGCATTATCGAAGCGAAGAAGGCACACAGCAGAACACATCGTTCAGTTAAATTTCGGCCGGATGCGGCGTGCTTAACATGGGGCGGAACCGAGTCCGATGCCCATCTCTGCAGTGCAATGCCAAAGTCACTCACCTTTTGCCGTAATGCCTCTCCTGACTGGCCCCAAGACTTGGCATTGCCCACGGAGCTTGTCATAGAAATAATATTCCCAGAGATTTGGTGGAGTTTGACGAGGGCAAAGAATCCAACGAGCTCTCCTTCGTCCTCAGGACAATTGCAGTCAGGCGGTATGATATCGCAGTCGACATCGTTGATTGCGAGCTGGCGCCCCAAGGAGATAGATAGAGATCGGTCCAAAACATATAGACAAAGCCATACACAGCGTCGCCTTTTCCAATCACCCTGCGGTAGTCGAAGCTTTTCCGGGGAGCGCTTTTCTTGCGAGTTAGCTTTCTTCTACTGGATGGGAAGAAGCACAATGATGGAGTAGTCAAGAAGCTAATCGAGGTAGTTCATGGTACGAGGCTGTAAATACTCACGTGAAGGCCTAGATCTTGTCCTAGACGTACTACGCTTCCAATCGTCGTCCATGCTTCTGCCTCGTGCCCTGTCGCCGCCAGATATGCACTCGACAATCCAAGTGCTATGACCTTATTGATGGAGTTCGGTTGTGTATTCAATGGGAAGGTGAGATTCTCGAGGGACACTACAGTATAGTGAGTATAATCAAGTGCATTTTTCGCCATTGCATAAAAGTATAATCCGAGGTTCGGGTGCCGATAATTATTGCAGTCTCGTTCGTCAAATATAGGGTCATCAAGCGGTAGTATGGAAGCAGACAATGCCAGCAGTGCAAACACAACCGGAATGAAGTCATTATCGGCAGACACCCCGGATGTGAGCTGACGGTATTGCGATAGGAAATCATCTCGCTCGATGATGGGAAAGACAGTATAGAGTTTTTCGAAGAAGCATTGAACCAAGGCATTGACAAGTCGGAATGGAGGAAGATTCCAGGCGTCTCTTCGCCCATGAAAGCGATGAGCAGGGTCAACGGTCTCCGAAGGCGAGCCCCAATAAGATTCCTTGGTC